CAATGATTATTTTCTCTTAGAGTTATTATCGGAATCTCCTCTTGTCTTTTTTTATGAAATTCGTGCAGCTTCGTGCAGGATTTGGAACTCGATTCAAAGAAATTTAAAAATATTTATAGATCCATTCATTCCTGTCTTTTGTTTTGGAGTCTAGTGCCCTCTCGGCACCTCTCTCTTCTCTCACCACCGTATACTTTTATTTTCACAACCGTTTGCGTCTTCCGAGTCGGTTTTTTTCTGTTTAACCATTCTTCCCCGTCCACTTTTCGCTGCCTATAATGTTTCCATATCCTATTATCAATTTTATTAGTGGTTAATATATGCCACTCATTACTTCCCCCGTTCAACATTCCTATGTGCATTTTTTTCGAACATCCATTCATTTTGTTCCTTTTGTTTGCATTGAAGATACAAATTCTGTGTTCCTATCATTACTTTGTGTGAATTTTGTTTCATGCTTCCATTTTTGTAAAATTACTTTTTGTTTAAAATCAATGAAAGCGTACTATTTTTTATTGTTTTTGTTGTATATAACGTTTGGTAGATTACTTTTTCTGCAGGACTTGTAGCTTATTTCAATTACTTTTCACTAATAGTCTGTTTTTAATTTAATTCTTTGTTTTAAAGTTGAAGTGTACTTTTTTCATCCCACGTTCCCATACTTTTATTGGTTGATTTCAATTTTTCTTGATTTATTGTTTCTTGGTGTCGCTCTCCAGCGAATTTATGTATTGTATATTCGTCTATTATCAGACATGAACATCTCGAATTTTATTCGTGTCTTGGTTTTTAATAATTTCTGTTTACTGCTGCTGATTGAGATTATAGAATTTTATGACGTAGACCTAAAAATTTAAAGAAAGTGTGCAGAAGGAGAAGTAATTGAAAGTACTTGTAATTTAAATGTATGTTATTTTGGTTTTGAGCTAGCAGAGTAAATTAAAATCCCATACATCTGAAATTGACAGTACAATTTAAGACATTCCTATGATGCAAATACAATTTATCAAGTGATAATTTGTATTACCGAGTACGATGTATTGTTATTTACCAGTTTCCGCATTCCTGCATTCTTCTTGCCTTACTTTCCTCTGTCTCACTCACGTCGTCTCAGTTTTCTTCCTTCAACTCTCTCTCTTTTTCTCTGTCTGCATTCCTCGTGCTTTGCCTATACTTCTTCTTCGGGCTTTTTTTTCAGCCGATAGCCGGTTACTTTTTGCTTCCTGGTGTATCGCATATTTGACCATACACTAGACATTAACACAATTTGCGGGCTTCTCTAGGATCAGCGGAACGCGAGGCCTTACGTGGCAACACACACATGAGAGACAACGGACAAAGAACCATGCCCAAGGCGGGACTTGAATCCGCGACCCTTCGGACCGAATCGCTGAGTCGGTACACGCTCTTAGCCCCCTCGGGTGTGCAGGTCGGCGCTTCGCCTCTTCTTTCGGCTCCTTAAAGCTCTGTCGTTAAGAGTCGTGAGAGCGAGGCTACCTCACAATGTGTGGGTGTTGCAGCCTAGAGGTAGGTTGGGCGATTCTCCCAACGCGCCCTCATCTTAGCGCTGCCGTCTGGTCCCGACGGAGCACCCTGCGGAACTCCACCTGTGCATCGCGAGTGTGACGCACGAGGCGCGATACCCGAAAGCTGCAGCGGCTGGTCACGCGTAGCGCTCGCGTGCTCACGCGCGCTCGCCGCCGCCGCCGCCGGCTGCTGTTGCGCGTGCTCGCGGACGCTCGTCTCGCCGCCTAAATATACGCGCGCCGCCCTCGCAGGTGCTTATTCGCGGGAGGGGGAGGGCGCGTTGACAGATAGACCTTGACTCACCTCGAGCGACACTGGGTCACATGTTCAAGTACACGCGCAGTTTCAGCGAACAACGACATACTCTGCAGATTCACAAAGCGTAAAACGGTCTATTTCCTGTTCCTGAGTTTTATAGTGCATAAATAATAGAGATAGTGTTAGAATAAAGTCACTTATTTGAACATTTTGAAGAATGATGAAATTAGCGTTTATGTAACGTAAGAAAGAAAATCCAGCACCATGGTGCCCACTCGGTGAAATATGGGGCCCTCTAACATGTTTTTTTAAATTCCATTATTTTACGGTTTGAATACATTGCAAACAACTTGTAATAGAAACACGTTTCATAAAAAAAGGTTGCCGTCTCTGTAATGTGTCAGTCTGCCTGCGGGAATAAAGTAAAATGTTGAGAACTGATCTGTTGAGAAACATGGGCAGACTAATGGTGAAAGATATATATTTTAAAAACATTACGCTGCCACTATTCTTTTAAGACAAGTGTTACAGAATTTGTTAATGTACATTTCAACTTTCTCGAAAGATTTTTTTTTCAGTGATTCCAAGGTGGTGAAACTCCCTTTATTCGATTAGAATTTGATGCTAAATTTTACAACGATCCTATGTAAACTGTTGATTTTATGACTAGTGTTTCCAGATGAACAATAAACTTAGTATTTTCCCCCTCTAAAATGTTATTCAGTTGGTGTGTTTGATATGTACACTAGGCATTAAGGGAATAAAATATGAATTCTTTGTCGTGGAGAAATAGCTCACAAAATAAGATAAAAGTATAAGATCGGCACAGATTGTTTCAAAGACGTTTTTCTTCAAGAAAAAGCCTTAAAATGTGCACATATATGAATCTTTGATTTGTGATGAAAGTAGTTAAAACGTTGGGGAGTAAAATTTGGATTTAATTTAGTAAATTTCTTTCCTGGAATTGCAACATCAAATGCACGAATAAAACATACAAACTCAAAATTGTTTAATTCAGTTTCTGTATTCGTTCTGAGAATGGCAAGAAATCCTGCTGAAATATTCTCTTAACGTCTTGCTTTGGTGCTCAGTTATTTTCTTCTCTTCCTCAATATTCTACGCTGATCTTTGCCGTATTTATAGATGAGTAAACATGGGCCGGCGCCCAAATGATACATTTTACAGGCTGGTGCTGCAGAGGGTGATTAAATTTAGAGGTCCATAAGAGTACAAGGGCGCCTCAAGATATTGGTACATTCCTCCTCGTTAGTAGGGTATTAAGGTGCATAATTAAACAACTAAAGCTTTAAAGGGAATGAAATAGTGAAATCAATTGCATCCACACGTGAATATTGTATAATTACTACACAAGATCCCACGTGGTTGTCAGAAGAGAATGATCCTAAAGGATTTTAAAATCGAGATAATTCAAAAGAGTAATTATCTACCAAAGTATTGTGTACACTATGAAACAGGTAGAATAAACGATTTCATATAAATGAACCATAAAATGTTTCAAAATAAATTGCCAATATTGGTGAACAAATAAATATAATTTTTCAATTAGATAAGTGTAATTTCGTAAAATCTCGTAGTATGTGAAAGAACAAACTTCTTTCCCATAGCATAACTATATAAGTAAGCAAAACTTTTCATTTACCGTATTGGACTGAACTTCGTTTAAGCTTTCTTTCAACTTATCGCAGCACTTTTCAGCCAAATTGCAGGCGAATGCAAAACCTTCGCAAAATTTATTTGTTCGAGAAGTTCTGACAAATTATTTTGAGCGTTGAGAAATGCACAGCAGCAACGTTGCATTGCTTCACCATAAACGAATATTGTGATATTGTTCGTATTTTTGGCGACTGTCACACTTTGGAGTCGAGTTAGGAATACGCTCTCCGACAACACACAAGCGGTCCACCATTACGCAGGCATTTGAAGACTTTATGACAAAAGCACAATGACTGGCAATTTTATACCTATGCACGAAGAGATTGGTGGTTGATCGAAGCGAACGACTAGACTAGAAAGGATCTCGAAAATAAATATTTTGCCCATGCGCTAGGATTAACGTAAGTCATTGCTTGGGTTTCTAAGAAACACTGTTCACGAAATGCTAAGTGAGTAAGGTTATAGGTTATCGAGAGTTCCAAGTCGTGTAGGCGAAGCGGCTAGGGCTGGCGAAGCGGGCGAGGTTGGCGAAGCGGGCGAGATTGGCGAAGCGGGCGGAGTTGGCGAAGCGGGCGAGGTTGGCGAAGCGGGCGAGGTTGGCGAAGCGGGCGAGGTTGGCGAAGCGGGGGAGGTTGACGAAGCGGGGGAGGTTGACGAAGCGGGCGAGGTTGACGAAGCGGGCGAGGTTGGCGAAGCGGGAGCGGCAGGTAGAGCGGGTGAGGGGGATGAAGCAAGTGAGGCGGGGCGACGAAGCGTGGCGGGCAGAGAAGGCGGGGCAGGTGAGCCTGGCGGGCAAAACGAGACGGAGTACGATGGCGAAGTGGGTACGCCGGTTCGAAGCAGCTGGAGTAGGCGGGGCCGGTTAATATAGAATCGTGATAAATTAATACCCACCCAACCCCTGGTTCATAATAGTTACCAAATCATAATAATAATAATAATAATAATAATAATAATAATAATAATAATAATAATAATAATAATAATACCATTCATAATAATACCAACCAATAGTTCATAATTATGAAAACTTTTCTTGATTATATTTCTACCTCTTTTTTAGTGTTCACATTTCAAAATTATTTTCAAAATATCTTAACAATAATTATTAAATGCATTTGAGAATAATCGTAGTCATTCTGTTTTGATAACGTTATATAATAATTATTTGACGTTATTAATGAAGAATGACCGTACGAAAATCGTATAGAAAGGCATATACATGTGTAATGTAGATATTGGAGTTAAATTATTAATTGTTCTCTTACGCATTCGTTACTACTACTCGCACATTGCAATATGCGTACCATACCTATATTTCACATATGCCAGGTTTTGAAAAATTTTCAGCAAAATATATTTCGCGAGAAAACTGAGAATTGTATTTGTCTTGTATTAAAATTGTCTCAAATAACCGTGATCTCAAAAAAACAGTTCAAGTAGAGGATATTTTTGACATTTCTTCTCTGAAGAGTGAAATAATGAAACATTTTCCAAAAGGAGACACTGACACAAATACAATACATGTGTCGACGATTATGTCACGCCCTTAACAAAGAAGGCTGAGTTCCAAGAGAGAGCATGTTCTCATCTGTCGATTCATCAGGGCTGTTTATCCATTTCTGGGCTAGTTCACGCGGCGGCGACCTGGCAGCAGCGAGCTGCCATGCCGCCGGTCTGCCAAGTTCCTGCTGTGAATCACCGCTAAGAGTACGACACGTAAAAACCTGCTTCCGTGCAGCGACTGCATTGCGTTTTGTCCGGCGCGGGAAATAAGATTTTTCTGTTTTCGGCGTTGCGTTTCACCATAAAAATCATGGAAAATCGCGACTGGTCATCAATTTATTATTTTTATTATGATTTTAAACAAAAGATTGATTAGTTCTTACATATAGACAATTTTAAAATTGTCAATAAAACGTGTACTTTTCGGGTTTTCTACAACGCTTCTTTTCGTAGATTAAAAGGGTTACGCTGTAGGCTAAATCGTAAAGATTCGTTCTATAGTAATCAATGCATTCTATAACTGATAACTGAATCGCATTCTGTAAATAAAATATTCATTGATATAAATCAATGCAGTACATCACCCTTACATTGGCAATTGGTCGTTTTCTTCTTGTATAATCAAAATTCTATTAGTTGTAAAGAATTCGATTAAGTAGAGAAAACTCAGAAATTCCACGTAGAGAAAAAGAAACTGTCTGAAAATAAAATTTTGAAAATGTAAATCAGTGATATTGAACATGTGCGTTACAAGAGATCAAACTAATTTAACAATTACATAATGTCTAACAAGTTGTAAGACAGACTATATTGAAGTACAATTTTTTACGATGATCCTCTTACATGAATACTTTATAAGCAGGTCTCAAATGAGAAGTGAATAATGATATCCCACTGAAATGTACTCTACAAATTTTTACTCTGGTGTGCTGGATTTTAGTTCCGCTTTTTGAGCTATTCTGTCTTGCGTTGAGTTTGTAATCGATATTCTGAATGTTTGGTTGATTTTGCGTCTCTTAGTTCTGCCTTAGCTTTGTTTCTTACTAACGGTAAAATATAATTTTATTGCTCCAATTGTCAAATTTTTCACTGGTACAATGTATTTGTAAATACACATTATATTGAAATATTTCAATTGTGTAGAACGACATATAATTTTGTTCTTGAAATTTCATTTAATATATTGGAAAGTAATTAGAAAAGGGATATTAATTTACGTTTTTTTATACTTCAATTATAAACACATGCTTCAAAAGGAAGAGCATTCCCATAATTCAATCACTAAAGTGAAAAGTATTTTCAGATAATGAACAAAAATATACTCACACCATGGACATCGTAACGCAAAAATCTTAAAGGGGTCTTGCAGGGGCAATAAAAATTGCAAAATTTTGGGGCCAAAAGGAAGAAAAAAGTCAGTCAAAAGGGGGTCTCCAACTTTACCTTCGATCCCTTTAGACATTTCCACCAAATTCCAATGGCAGAAGATGAACGTTGTTCAGCAGAGCGAAAAATAAAAGCAAAAAAGCATGAGCAACAAAAATCAAAATCAAAATTTTAACGTAAAAATTCTGCTAAAAGAAAAATTAAATATACTAAGCAAAAAATAAAATTAAAAACGTTGAAATTGATAATTTATTAATGTAAATGTTTCTCGATGAATTCGGAACAGTAAAACAATATAAGAAAGCTGTTCTTTGAGTTTTATCCCAGAACATTGTGAATATTATTCGTCCTCGGGGAGTCTTGCGATATCGTTCTTCAAATCCAAAAGAACATTCTTTAAGTTTTTTAATCTTTTATTTGTACGTGTACGGAGACCTCGGCTTTTTAATAATGCGAAAACTTCTCTTCCTTGCAGCCTTTGTGCTAAAATGTGTCATAATGTATGGCTTCAATATTTTATTGATTGAAATATTTTATCCGTTCAATATTTGTATTATTTGTTATGGTAAATATGTATGTGTCATCTAAGAATAACCACCGTGATCCTAACGACAAATGTGGCTCTACAAAACGCTGAGACGAGATAGAGTTAAACGTAACTCACCAAACATTCAGATATATGTCTTAGATGTATAACAAAAGAAATAGGGATACTTAATATAACTGCAAGAGTATATATAATAATCTCTATAATAGTACTTTATTTTCAAGTTTAATTTGCCCTGACGGTTTTGTGAATGTGCATTGGTAACGAAAAGAATAACGAGTTGGGAATGTGATGGAGACAAAGTATTTTCCTTCTCAAGACGAATTTTGAAATAATACTTATTTTCAAATTACTTGTAAATGCCTCTTCTGTCAATGTAAACAAATGATAAGTTGAAATATTGTTTTTAAATTAATTAGCGACGTTTAACTGAAAAATCTAATGCTGATATCTATTTATTTCTCATGAACAAAATATTGTAATAGAGATGAAAGATATAAAAATAATATTTATTTTCTCTCGAGAATACAGTAACTTATAGTTGAGAGCATTAATAGAATGCTAATAATTAAAAGTATTTTAATTTTATATTTATTCTAATTTATATTTAGAATAATTTCTGAGATATTGTAGACAAGTATCTTCAGCCCAATTAAGTGAGTTATTTAAAAAATAGATTTGCCACTGGTGTAGGTAATTGAACAAAACAATTTATAAAAATATAAAGTAAAGAGGTGAACATTTTAAATAGCAAACCGCAATAGGTATTAATTATAATACACAATCAATATTCATTTTCAAAGCAGATGCTTCAGATGATTCTCCCATAAGAACTAAATGATGTATATATCCGAGAAGATAAGAAGGAAAATACTTAAACCAAACAATGCACCATACAATTAAATCATTAAAACACTATTTAGAGAAAAATAATAAAAAATAATTGACTCAGTTACAAGAATATAGATAATGCTTGTAAAGCCTTGACAGAATCTCTAAATTTATGAATAAAAATGTGGCCTTGGAAAATAAACTGTCAACACTATATGAAAGAAAAGTCGTAATTTACGGAAGAAAGATACACTAATTTAAATAAATTGCGTGAAAATAAAAAGTACAACTGTGGCGTTTTTTAAAGACAAAGGAAGGAATCCAAAAAATGGAAGTCAGAGACAAATTAAATAAAAATGATAATCAATGTGTTCGTTGAATGGCGATTTGCAAAAAACAAGAAGTCAGTGTAATTCCTTGACTACGCCCATGGTAGCAGTGTAGGAATTGCTACGAACAGATTGTGGGAATGAATGAACTTCCGAAAGCGTAAATGAAACCGGTGTCTTTGAAATGGAATTTTTTATCGCATGAAAGTTGCAGCGCGGAACCTTTTAACGACTCACTCTACAGAATGTGACACCTCCCATAAATTTCCCTCTACACCACATCTCGTTTTTCAAGAATAATTTTAATCCTATCAACCACGCTCCAGCTATAATTAATTAAACAACGTTAAGATAATGGAAATTATCGCTGTCTTCACGTGAACGATTCAGCTGTCATCAGTTCACAAAGACTGAGTTGTTAAGGACATTATGCACAGTGTAGTGTACAACTGGAATCTGGATCTTCTACGCAAGCGCAGATTGTCAAAAGCGATGCGCAACTTAAAGGTAACATGCGCAGAAGACCAATATTGCTGAATTCGACGCTGTGATCAATTAGCGGTTTCAACCACCTCATTTTATAAAAATATAAAGTAAAGAGCTTAACATTTAACCATCTCGTCTCTGAGATGTTACAAAGACATGAACAGGACTCTATTTTGAATTGGGCAACGCCTAACTGTATTTCGGAGAACCCAAATTTCGACAACTTTTATAAGCATTAATTTTGCATTACGTGCAAATTAGGCAAAAAAACCGTGTATACATAGTTTAATTTTGGATAATCCCTCAATTTCTAGCAGTTATTTCAGAAATGTTTTTTACAAAGGAAATTGCAAATTCTTTTAAATCTAATTGGAACTTTTTCTTATTTTTCATTTGAAGCAATGGAACTAGCAAACAAAATAAGTTTGCAAGTCATATCCAATTACATTAGACAATTATAATATTACAATCATACTAGAGAGTCGGTTACACAAAAAATATTAGTGGGTTATAACAGTTGTGCCTCTGGTAACCTTTAAGTCGAAGTTAAAACAACTCCAATAAAAATAATAATAATAATAATAATAATAATAATAATAATAATAATAATAATAATAATAATAATAATACCAACGTTAATAACAAATTGTGGAATGTTATGTCAATCAAATCACACAGAAAATTAAAATAACAATGATTGTGCATTGTGATTATTGTGTAAAGGGTGAGTAAAAACAAGTTGAGAAACATAAGAAATTGAATAGCACTGAACATGTAGAACGCATGTATTTGACATATAAGAAATGCCCGTGGCAACGCCACGCGCAAGGCAGAAGAGTTAGGAAGGAAAAAGTGTGAAGGCAGAGGCGAAGGCGGGAAGAGAGAAGCGGCACGAGTCGAAGTGGAAGCTGGGGAGACGGAAGGGGCTCGGAGGAGGAGAGATTTATGAAGGCGTGGGTGGAATAACGACGCAGGTGGCGGGGAGGGCAATAGCGATGGCTGGGGCGCAGGTCATGGTCGAGGTGCTTAGGCGGAGAGGCAAAGAGAAAGCTCGCAGCTCCCGGAGACGCCGCGTCGAAGGCTGAGATGCCGGTTCGATCATCATGCCGTGTACTTCGAGTCTGAAATACGTTGGGATAGTCAGCGCTAAGGTTTTTATAGCTGAGTAATTTCATACATGAGCGCTGATCATTCCGTTGCATTTCAGCCTTGAAGGCTACAAGATGAAAACCGAAACCTATGCAGCACAGACTTCGACGATGGATATCCAGGAGGGCCGGCAGCATTCATGTCTCTGGCTGCGGAAATCTACGATGACAGAGAGAAAGAAACAAGTGGGAGGCGGGGGGCACTAGGGAAGCACTGGGGGGCGCGAAAAGCGATGCGGCCGGGAAGGAAAGAAAAAATAGAAGCTTTGACGGAGACGAACGGATAAGAGCGTGGACGTGTTAACAAGGATAGAAGCTTTAGAAGCTAAGCAGATGGGAATGCGGAAGTCGCGAAGTTGTAAAAAAAATTACGAGATGGTGTGACGAAGGGTTGGAATCGACTGCAGGGAAGATGGAGTACGGTTGCAGATACTGAGTATGACAGGCGCGGACGCGGGAGTTTGAAATGGTGAAAATGAGGTTGAGATGAAGATGAATTTTGGATATGAGCGGATGCGGGATCTCGCTCTGCGGCGGAGGATTTGAAGGCGACGGCAGAGAGGCAGAATAAGGGGAAGCGAAGTGGAGATAGTCGGAAGAGATGCCGGATGTGGATCCAGAAGGTAGTGGAAGACGATCGCGGTGGGGTAGGCAGAGGTGTTGTGGGGGAGGCAGGGAGAGGGGGAGTAAAACACGGACGGCGACGAGGGTGTTAATGACCGCAGGAATGGAGATGGTGACAGAAATGATGATGGGGATGTGTTGGGAATGGGAAGAAGAATCTGACGCGGCTGGTGTCGGGATTCTGTGATAGGGATGGCGAGGCTGTATTGCATCGGGAATGATGAGATTATGGTAAAGGGTGGTGACTGGGATGGTAAGAAAGTGGTGAAGGGATAGTGACAGTGAATAGTAACTGGGGTGATGACGGTCGGTGTCTGGGTTTGGTGTCTGGGTTTGGTTTCTGGGTTTGGTTTCTGGGTTTGGGGTCTGGGTTTGGGGTCTGGGTTTGGGGTCTGGGTTTGGGGTCTGGGTTTGGGGTCTGGGACCGGGGTCTGGGACCGGGGTCTGGGACCGGGGTCTGGGACCGGGGTCTGGGACCGGGATCTGGGACCGGGATCTGGGACCGGGATCTGGGACCGGAGTGAGGGTCGTCGACCAGGATCAGTGAGGGCAGATGGCGAAGAGTGGGGTGGAGACGAGTGGGTGCCGGGGGCTTACCTGCGCGTTGATGTCTTCCTCGAGCGGTCGGTCGGGCAGCGGCGGCGGGAAGGAGATGGGCAGGTTCCTGGGCGGCTGCGGGGCCATGGCGAGGGGCGACGGCTGCACGTAGGGCGAGCCGGCGCCCGGGCCGGCCGCCGCGGGGCCGTGGAGGGCCCGGTTGAGGCCCTGCGGCCTGCGAGGCGTAGCGCGAAAGGCGCGTGGCGACGCCGCCGGCCACGGAGCGCTTCGGGCGCGGGCGACAAGGGCCCGGCCAGCGGCGTGGTGGGGCGCACCTGCGGCAGCGGCTGCGTGCGCGCGCGCGGCAGCGTGGCCGACGCCCCCACGGCCGCCAGCGCCGGCGAGTTGGCGCCCTGCCTGCAACACCGCCCACGCCACACGGCGCTTTTTAGTCTTTCCATACCTATGTATTTGGCATTTTGGAGGGATTGAGTGATTGGTGATTCCGGGCGCGTCAACTGCTGAGGTCATTAGACCCGTAAGTGTAGTGCGTGGTTCTATCGTGAGAGCTGGTAGTGATATTTCCCCACTGGATGGCGACATCCGGCGTCGACCGAGGTATGCATGCATGGAGTTTCCCACATTGAGGTATCTCCCGCCAGCGGTGCACCGCCCCAGCGTGGACGAGTTCTAAGCCCCTGACTGGTCCCCCCACAAGTGTGATAGTGTAGTGTAGTGCATGCGAGTGTAAATAAGAGTTGAGAATAGGACGAAGACGGTAGGAAACATCCTGCGTAGTCCTTAGCCTCTTTTTTAAGAGACCGCTCTTGTATTCGCCTGGTGTTAATCGCTCCTTTATACAGCGTTTAAATTAAACCTTTCTATCTAGCGGATCTTTCTAGCTAGCGGAGCTAGCTAGCGCGTAACGTTGAAGCTAGGGTCGAAAATCCTGCCACCATCGGGATTAACTGTATAACCACCTGTTCATGGGCACTGCAAAGACATCAGTTCATGCCCTGAGCCCCAAGCCTTTACCGGTATTTGGATTTTTTGGTCGATTGTCTGCCTTTGCTGGCTAGCAAAGTGTCCCCCAGGCGTGGGACTAATTTAATTCCCACGCTAGGGGGGTAAGAGAGACATGTGGTGAAAAATGAAGTATTCCATTCTCAATAACTAGCAAACTCCAAATGCCTGAGTTTTTCTTCGTTACGTAGCTAGGCGATTTTAAAGGAAAGCTACAAATCTATTTTGCGTCGACCGGGACCTAGGATCACACCTTGGGAAGCTGGTACGCTGTCTATGAGAGGCTTAGTAAATATATATTACGATTTTACATAAATTTGCAATGGTCGCCAGTGACCATAGTTAATGAAGATCCCTTTAAGCCTCTATTAATTAATCACGTGGCTGAGTTGTGGCTGAGTGGCTGAGTTGCAAGTTTCCTGCCATTTCAAACCCCACAGACCGGTTTCAGTGTGTAGATTTTGAAGAACTAAAAGTCCTTAGCGGACATGTTGAACTTGTGGTATGTCAAAGAACATTGAATATGTGACAAAATTAAATTCTCCGAATATGCGCTCAATTTCTTATCATATCCCGAATTCACCTAGCTACACAACGTAAGTAAATAGATGAATATTTCTAAAGTCGGGTGTTGTGATGCTTTCTGGAAGATAATATTAGAATCGAAGGGGCAACTTTGGAAGCCTTTTGGATGCTAATTATAAAATTTTCATTAAACATTTCATTAGGTTTGCTTATTACACTCTCTACTATACAATGTGTGTACTGAATAATTGTAATTATTAAAATTATATGTCTAGTAATTCTACAAAAAACCTGCAACTTCACGTGACAGAAGCCTTCTGTTAAGAAACGGCGTGACGATAAGACCTTCACCTTGCACGAGTGTCTCAAGGCAAATGAAATTAGAATCATGATCTTTGATATTGCAACCGCCAGGAAATTGAAGGCCAATGCCAAGAGCAAAGTTGCCTTCGATTGGCACCTGCCCCGCTCGCCGAGTCTGCATACCTGGCAGGAGCCCACAAAGCGCAGTTTCCCCCACGAGCCACGTCACGTCACCTGACAGTTCAATTACACCGACGCGGCCTTAATCGCAACGTTGCATCAGTCTGGCTCCTAACTCGTAAGCTTTCCCCTCCTTCTTTCCGATAACAAATTTAATCTTGAATACGAATTTAAGGAGGTTGGCCTACAAACCACATTTAGAGAGGACTTATATTCTAGAATGGTGTCTCAATCTCGATGTGATGCAAATCTCTGACGAAATTGAATGGAGTATTTGTGCCAATTTCCTTACTTAATAAATCCTGTAGTATTAAATTTTCGGTTAGATATGGATCCTAGTTTTCACTGCCATAGTTTAGTCGTGCAAATTTAGAACATCGCAAATACTAGGAATACTTTAAAATGTTAACCATTGTGTTGCTGGAGATTGGTAGTAGATTAAAGTAGTCCGAAAATAACAATTCTAATTTTACTTACATTCATCAGACCCAAATACTATACAGAAATTAAATAACTAGTACTATTTATTTAAACAATCCACTCATCATTGACTTGTTCTTAATTTGACACTTTCGATTTATTTTTATAATGCAGATATATCATAAAAACAGTAGAATTAGTATCTTTATTCATAACTTTTCAAACAGTGTCATACTCAATATATTGCATACATGCACTATATCAAATTTTGGTCTGGAAAGAATGATGCTGGAGTACACATCGCCTGATAAAACGACATTGAGCACCAAATACACGTACAGAACCCGTTAAAATTTTCTACATTTGTAAAATTAAAACTCGTACATACACTTGAGATAATCTTCTTGATATGTTTTAAACTAAAAATTAGACTCATTAATTATTTTCAAAGCAGCAGTACTCGTGGTTTTCATCTTTCATTTCATATCTATGATGAATCTTTCAATTCGTGTCCGAGGAAAACAACAGCGTGTCTCCATATCTGTTCCTTGTCTTAAAGACATCCTAATCTCAATGATTGCTTATGAAATACGATGATTCAAGCGACTTCACAGTTACTGCAAACAGGATGTTAATGGTACATGATATGATTTTCGCGATTGATGATTTTTCTCTTCTCCGCAATTTACATTTCCTTATTTTGTAGAAAAATTCTCAAGTCTGGCAAAAGGTGTCATGTTATCACATATTTCACCACATCACAGGCGCTTGCAAATGTTGAGTGACGTAAGAACGCGTTGATTGATTGATTGTCTGACTGGTGTTTCTGAGCGCGTCAACTGGCAACACTTGCGGTCGTTACTACCGTAAGTGTAATGCGTTTTTACCGGTTATCTTCCCCCGGTGGATGGCGAGGCTGGCGCCGACCTACATGTCGGCATGCAGTATGTTTTTATTTCCCAACCAGGTGTCTTTCCCCAGCAGGGCACCATCCCAGACCTCTAAGCTCCTGCTGACTCTAAGCTGGTTACCCGTCATGTGTGGTAGTGTAGTGCGTGTGTGTTAAGTAAGGGTGAAGATAGGACAAGGAAGAGGGAGGAAAGATCGCTCGCGGTCTGTAGCCTGTTTGTTAGGGTACTTTTACAGCATCTTCGTGGTGTTGATCAGAGAAAACAAAGAAAATTACAGATCAGAGTGCCAAGTCGCTAGAATTCTCTTCCAGACAGCGGCTCAATTCGGCCTAGCTACATAGCTAGTGTCGAAAACTCTGCCACGGTCGACAGGAGAACCCCGGTCAGAATCACTGCAGTGACATCAATTGGCTAGCCTCAAACTAAAGTGGTCTATGGTAAGAGTCACAATGTGACTTACACCATTTAAGAATTGCCGAACATTGGAAATCATATGCCAATACTAAAGTGGTACTTTTATTATGAGGCACCTACAACGACACATGACATATAGACCACTTTAGAATGTAGAGATGCGCACCTGTTCAGATCAAATTTACCATAAGTTAGATTTTATCCAATATGTTTTATAGACCACTTTAGTTTCAGACCAGCCAATTGAGGTTCTGCGCCGCCTATGCCGGCACGCAGGAAGGGGGTTGTGTTGTAAAGGCCCATTCACCATGCAAACATAAACACAAACAAACGCATAGACGCAAAAATTAACATAAGTGATATACTGAAGTATTCACAACGTCCAATAAACGTATGCAAAATAAAAGTTTCTATTGGCTGTGAGACATTCTACGAGTAGTTTACTATTGGTTGGATGTTAGAATTGATTTTTAGGTATCGACTAAGTCTATAGCCCACATGTCGTTAGTTCGTCTATCGACTTCGATACTCGACTTTGAGTTAACGTATTGTGATTGGTTCATTTCTTGTGTCTTACTTAAGCATAAGCACAGAATCTTGAAGATTGCTAGCTTTTAAGTGCTCTTACGTGTAATGCGTATGCGAACGCATTGTGAATGAGTCCGCTTGAGGACGTAGTCTTAACTTTTGTGTTAACACCATGCTTATGTTTGCATTTTAAAAGCGTCTTAAGACGCTTGGGCAAAAAATAAGAAAATATCATTTTTTACTTTTTTCTATTATTAATACATCTATAGTTTTCTGTGTCAAGTAAGCAGCGTTTTATGTTAATATGCAATCTCTAAGTTTTTTAATTTTGAATTTTATGTGGCGTGGAAGTGGCCGTGGCTATTTTGACTCATCGTGAGTTAGGCTTCAACGTTTTTTCTGCTTTTGTTGTAAAATATAGTGAATAGTTTGCTTCCTAGTGTTTGAAAAACTGTTTCTGGTAACAATTGAGAGTTAAATAGCTTGAAAATATTGGCGTGTTCGTTTTTCCGGACCATGAATGCACTGAAACAATTATGAGCTATTTCCTGTAAGTTTAAAATTTTCAATTGTAGGAAAATCATTTTCTCAAAAACTATTTATATAATGATGCTCAAATTTTAACAGAGCATGTAGCTCCCTAGTTTATATATTTTAACGTGGCATAATTATAAAATGTTAAATTCTTTAAACAATGATTTAAAGAATGTTTGTATTTTTAACAACAGAACCTATTAAGATAAACAAAAATGTATATTTAAAAAACTGATAATATTTTTTTAAAAAACGGCTTCGTTAAAATACTTATATATAATAAATCTCTGTAAATTGGAGAGTTTCTGAGAAAATGTTCCCTGCACTAACATTGGCGCGATAGGCTGGCCTTAGAGATTGGCGTGGGGTTTGCGTCTCTTACCGTTCGACGACGAGCGAGATGGAGTTGCCGGCGTTGCGGAAGAGGTTCTGCGCGTCCTCGTGGCGCAGGTCGCGCGCGTCGTAGTCGCCGATCTTGCGCACCACGTCGCCGCGCTTCAGCTCGCCCTCGCTCGGCGACCCCACCTGCGCCTGCGCAACACAGCCCAGCATCACACGCGCTGGCGGGGGCGGGGGCGGGGGCAGGGGAGGCAGTGAAAAAAAAATGTATTTCTTTTTCTATGCAACAAAAATAGTTTTCCATAGCAAATTGGAATAATTAAAATCACTGATGAAAATTTTATTTTGCTGATAATATCATATGTCAATTCATTTATGACTTCATGACAACAAACTCGTTGAAAAAAGAAATTCATGAGCATACATATACTTTGGATATTTCATTTAAATCTCGTAGCTATCATTGTAGAACACGTGTTTTAATGTTTTTATACCACTTTCAAATTGGGAAACATGTTACTTAAACAACGTACGTAATACATATTGAATGTTTGAACTTAAATGTAAAATGAAAACGATATTTTTCAAACCCGTTAATTATTATCTTACGGAAATATATATATTTTTGTTCGATTATCAAAACACGTGTAGAGGGTGGAATGAAACTCATTAAGTTCACAATTAAATAAATGACTCTCGTTTTTTCTCAGTCAAGTAAATGTTATGTCTTCTTAAGTAAGTTTCATTCCTCCATTAAAAATAAACATATCTAACAAAAGTACATGGAGCATGTGAAAGCTAATGTGGAACAAGAGTCATTCACCATCGCGTGAGTATAATTATAAGGTTGGAAGAAACCAAAGTAACAACTCTGCTTATTTGATTAATAGTTGCATTTGACAAACAACATTATGTTCATTTGTAATTGTAGTTTCAAGTAGGTGAGCAAAATAAAGTGACACAACTGCGATTCAGCTATTTTCACGCATTAAATTTTCACAGAATGTGAAAGTCAATAAACCAGTAGCAAGGGAATTACCGAAACACTGTACTTACGATTATTAATTAGAAGTATTATACAATGTTAAGGACGAAGTTTCAATAATTTAATTTATGACCATAAATATTAGTCGCAGGGAGAGATAACTAAATATAAGAAAAAATCGTAATTTTGCACTCTTTCGTATTCCTTAAAATACGAATACTCTGTGCACGTAAATGTGATTTGGCAAGTGTTCGTATGTCTTTAAGTTGATGGCAAGTAACAATGGCTTCATATTCACCTTCTTCATGCAGGCAAATGGGATTAACAGAATTGTTATAAAAAGCCCTTTTTAAACAATTTGTACTCTTATTTTTGGGGATAATTGACGTTTCTTATACATTACCGTAATTGTAATTTATAATCATTTAGAGACTACTAAATTATTCTTACGCAATTTGACCAAAACACGCTAAGAGCTAAATGTCTAGTGGCTTTGGCTCACACTTCGCCGCCTGACTCATTGAGCTGTTTAGTCAGCGGAAGAGATTTAGTTCCGTGATTCACTTGCTGCTTGTCTTCTCTTTTCTTGCGGTCCTCTACTGGCACTTAGTGACTCAGTCTCTCGGAAAATTTCTGTATTTAACATAACTCGTTTTTTACTTAGACTCCACTTCTTTAACCGCGCTTTTAAGTTAATCATATGGTCTGTCACTTTTAAAATTAGTGGCTAGAGGAAAATTATTTCTACAATATATATTTGCTCTTAAGACATGAAAGTTGCTTCCCGTTGTTTCTTGGATTTTCACACTTTCTGCAGAGAGGAAAGTAAGTCGTACCGTCATATCTCGTACATGTATGAATGGAAAAGACTAATGTAAATAGCAACGAATTAATATTTTCGTCAATGTTTTTTCTTTCAACAACAAATATTTTGGGAGTGGAATGGTATGAGTAGAATGTAATTAGTATATTGATTGCAAATTATATTTAGAGTATGAGAAACACCGGTGATCATTTCCAAAGGTTACCGAATCTCAAAAATTATCCAAGTCTTTCGAAATTTTCAAATGGACTTGGAATATGTGTGGTACATCAAAGCGAATTTGTTTGCAAGATCAACTTGAACCTTAAATTTACAAAAATTTTCTAGTTCTAACACTATTTCATTTCATTTTTATAAAGACGTCTGGGCAGAGATGGTTCGCGAAGGGGCAGCACGAGATGTGTAGCACAGAACTGTGCTGCGGGTTGCGTCATTCCTGACTTTGGCGGCGTAATTCAATCGGTAGTTAGTTTTGATACCATATAAATAAGCCGATATACTGAACACTGGCTTAACGATCAGTGCCAGGCTTCTGAGATACGAGTTGCCCAGTTAAAACCAGCTGGGAAAGTAGATTGGCAAAGAGAAAAATAGTGTAATTAAATACGTCACAACTTGTCAGAATTTTTCTTAATTGCAAACTTATCTAGCTATTAGAATAGGCCAATTCTTTCAATGAATCCATTTACAATTACCGTCAGCAAGAATTTCCCTGACTATTTAAATATTATGGATTCAGAGATATCGAAATTAAAAAGTTCTCCTTACCCGACTTTGCCAGACTTCTTTTATGGCGTCGTTTTGTGGAATTCGAAGCATATAATAGGTATAACTTCCTGTCTCATCTCTTTAACCCCCCTCTGATCTCCGCATTTTTTTCCTGAAACGGAGGTTTCATTAATGCTAACATGACCCGTTTGCCGGAACGAACTCATCTTGATCTCTCCTTGACAGTTTCTCCTGAACAGTACTTCCAGCTTTCTGAGGTTCCTTGTTCTCCTGCCTCTATTCTCCAGTCACTTCAGGAACATCTGCTCCCCTTTATCTTCAGAAATTCTCAAGGAGAACTGTGGTTTTGTGTTAGTGCCCACCAACAGCAGACACTTTATTTCACTAGAGTTTGAGAAAAGAACGTTTATTCTCAGCTAAGTGATTTCCGGTTCTTTAGGTTAGGAGTTTCCCTCCCTACAACAGCGTTGTTTGTATTCAAAAAATCTGTGAAAGTGAACAGAAAGAAAGGATGTAAATTATTTAACTTTCACGGTTATTATAATTTTATTGTTTAAAAGTTTATTTATTTTCGTCTGTCAAATATTGAAACGCTAATGTCTACCACAATTCAAAACAATTAGCATTACAAGGTGTGTATGTGAGGAATTGTATACATTAAGTGTATATATGAAATGTTAGCGAGTGAATGAGTCCATATATGTTGACGATTAATTGCCTTAAACCCAAGACGGTGGAATTAGCACTACGTCGTAACTGAACATTATCTGAACATTTAATTTATTGCGAGATAACCATAGTTTCCCCCCCCCCTTACGTTCTATAACTCCAGCTTTCCTAAGTACTTCTTAGAAAAATCTAAAATCTCCATTGGAAATGACGATAGAACAGCCAAGCATTTGCTCTATTGCCAGGCGACGTGTCGAATTCTTGGACGTCACCGCATGCTGAGGTTGCTGCGCACCACCAAAGGCCGCGTTATAGAACGTGCGCGTCGCCGGTGCCGGGCCACCTGGGCATTAAAGAGAGGGGGCTGTCACGGCGCCGCGAAGCAGCCATTTAGCCGCGCGAACGGCCGCTGAGGAGCCGCTGCCAGATCCGATGCGGCCGTCGCTTCCGGCGCCGCGCCCGCGGCGGGCGGCGGCGAGCCGTGAAATGCGCGCCCTCCTCGGGCTTGCGAACGCCCGATTCCAACCTCTTTCCTTTTATCGTTCTTATCGAATATCTCTCATATGCGCAACTTCATTAATTTAATGAATTTCCTCCACGTTGTAAGATGGTTGTGCAGTACCACCTAGCATTCTAATTATTCAAAACAATTTTCACTTGGTTATTTAATATTTTGTGAAAAATCAGGTTAATTGAGAATTTTTCCTCGTTTCGTGTTATTTTTGTTGTCGTTTTATTGTATGGGTTTTCAATACATAATTTCTTACTGTCTAGCTTTCATGTATATAGAAAAAATAGCTATTTATTAGCTAAATATTTCTTATATAATGAAGATATATATATATATATATATATATATATATATATATATATATATATATATATATATATTACATACATATTTTCCTATAGACATAATCGTCAAAAATGATGAGATCATATACACAAATTTGAAATCAAGAATTTTTTAAGTTCTTTAACACGTTTATAAAATTAATTTCTGATGCAATTCTAGCCATTTAATGCGTGATTTTACATTTCGAAAAAGGAAAAATACATCAATTATACCTGGGATACAATTATTTTCAATCGGTTGTGGTCGCTTTCTGGGGGATTTAGGGAGCTAAAGGGAGCAATTAATTCATTTGTATATAAAATAAATTTTTGGTGTGTTCCTATTATTTGTGTAAAATTTCTCAGAAATAAAAATTTGAAATTTGTATTGCTCTCAACGAGATATTGGGTTCAGCAATCAAATGTTAATGTGTGCGGGTAATTTCGATTATATACCCATTACTTAAAATTCTGTTGTGGACTTAAACAATGACCTTGGAGAATTGTGCAACAGCTTAGGACGATCTGGTCGTTATAGACCTGAAGAACTTCCCGGTTAAAGCGTTGGGTCCAAAGATTCGTATCTCCGCTGGCGGCACCGTGAGTTAAAATGGAGCTTCGGCGCTTTGGAGGAGGCACTCGCCACCCGCTTCCCGCCTTCCCTCTCCCCTCCCAGCCGTCCCCCCCTCCGCCCGTCGCCCGCC